AGTACTAGAACCCCCCCTAACTGGGGACACACCTACAGAACCACCCATAGGCCAGCACTACCACTTTTTAGAGATTCAACAGATTTTTCTATCTCATTTATGGCCCTATTCCCTACATCACATTTTGAAGACTCCATTCCTACTCCCTTACTATGAGCAAGATTTTGCTTTTTGATCTCAGTTGAGGTGGCAGAGGGAGAGCTAGGTCCCATCTATCCCTCAGTACTGAGGCCCCAATCATTTTTCTCAACATTATTGCTACTTCTACCCCCCATATACCCAAAGACCGAGGCTCTTAACCATTCGCCAAATTGTCTAGTGTTTAGGCTATTCTGTTTAATATCCTCTTTTTTGAAAACACAACTACGGTCGGCATGACCAATTCTTCCACAATAGTAGCAAAAATTAAGGAGGTTTTCATATTTAAAGTTTACCCATCGTGACTCTCCTCCAAGCCTGATGTGTGTTCCTCTCAGAATGGGGTCCTTGAGGTTTAACTCTACCAAGATCTTTACCAGCCGGCCACCATAGACTCATGTCAGGGACCACAACATCTATAACATTGTGGAAGAGTTTGCCCACCTTTAACCCAATTTAGGCAGAGACCCAATGGAGTGGTAAGTCCCAAATCTGTACCCATAGTTGGATAAAGCCATCCTCCTCTTTATGTCTCTCATCAGTTGGGCTCCACTCTTTTAGCAACAAGTACTGACCGTCAAAAGACCATGTTTTCCCAGTAAGCACTCTTTGCTTATCCCCTTCGGTCTTGAAGATGAACTGGAATTGGTTATGCCCCAATGATCTGATAGTGAACGGTTTTTACGTCTGCCAAACTGTTTGAAGGGTATTTCTCATCCCAGTAAAGTTGATTTTCTTCTCACCAAAGATTCGACCAAAGAGACTCCGAGAACATTCCTGTATTCCAGAGCTAATATCATCATCAGTGATTGATATTCCCCCTTCCTCTCTGTCAGACAGCTTAAAGCCCTGCAGTTGATTTGCCAAATCGTTGTCCATCGGAACTGTGATCCGGAGTCAACAATCTGTAACCCTTACCCCAGCCCGTCTAAGGTGACACAGACCAAGCAACACCTGTGGAAAGAGCAGGATATTTGGATAAGTGAAGTTAGGACGAAAGGAAACGAAGAAGTAAGAAGAGATTATTGTAAAGAAGCGAAACCCTAATTCGATAAGAACTAGATATGAGAGAAACACTAGGCGAGAGAAAGAACTACAAAAAAAACACAGCCGGCAGGAAGAAAAGACAGAGAAATGTAATCAAAAGCTAATTAGGATGATGAAAAGGAAAGGATCAGGCAGAGATCGGAAGGGAAGAGGAGATGAAAAGCCCTAAAATCCCAAATCGGGAATTCCGTTCTCTAGAGAGAAAAAATCCCAAGTCGGGAACTTTCTAATCCATATCTGTCTGTGCTTTGCTCGCTCCTAATCCAACTAATGCTTAATTAAAGAGTGAAATTACAAATCACTGCAGATCTCAGGACAATTATATTGTCAAATTAAAAACCCAAATGAACTCCCCTTCCTCATTCCATTGCAAATAGAACGAATAATATCATACAAATCCACAGTTCAATGAGAGAAGGAAACTATAATGTACTGGCAGAATATCATTACACTGAGAGGTATCTTTTTGCAAATAATTATTTACACTAATTCACCGATACATAATTTTCTTTTCTCTTCAGTCGTTACTTTTTGTGTTGGTGGTTGGTCTCATCAAGTCGTCTCATCGAATGCCATCACCTACAAAAGCAATTTTTTAATCAACATTGTTATATACGAAACCGGTATCCTTGATAACTTTTTATATATTGATTGCATTACGAATTTACTAATTATTTGATTGCTAAAAATTGGTCAGAATTCAATGCTGTGAACATGACAATGATATAAATTGTTCTCTCTTTTGCTTTGTTTACATCAAAAGGGAGAAAAAGGAGTGCAAGAGAGAAAATTAGAAAAACTAAATATGATAATCGGCCTAATTACAAAAGGCTCCAGTTACGAAACCCAGGGGATTTGACAAGTAAATACATAGACGAGTATTCTCAATGGTATAAGATGGCCATTTTTGTGATTCTGACTTTTTTACTGGAAATATCTTCTTGAGCAGCATAGTCAATACATAGAAACACAGTACGACGCAGCCTGATTGTACATTAGATACTTAATGCAGCCTGACTTGAAAATCTACTCTCTTATTTTATTATAGATAGAGCAAAAAATGAGGAAAAGATAATTTCAATGGAAAAAAGATGCAACGGATATACGCACCTTGCCGCAGACTGGGCAGTTATCACTTCTTTCCATCCACTCATATATACAACCGAGATGGAAATGGTGAGAACACTTTGTTATAATCTTTGGGTTCTCTGTGGTATACTCTGTAACAAAGGAAGCACGTGAGGTGTGGAAAAAAACATATATAACAATGATACTAAGAAATTAATCTTCGCATCATGAGAAATGCCATACTGAAAAGAAACTAATATGTTAGTCAATGTTGCAATGCCTATCATGTAGTAATATCTATGAACTTTGGTCCCTGATAATTGTATATTAACTTGGTATGAATTATACCGTATGATGTTAAAATGAAAATGAATAAAAGTAAGAGTAAAACATCAGTGTATAACATCACGAAAAAAGGTCGATATGTCCTATAACTACTATCAATAGCGAAATGAATTCCTGAAAAGTAATGCTACATCAATAGCGCTGACAAACACAGCAATAATAAGTTTTATAAGGATGAGATTGTAACAAAATACCCTTATACCCCTCGAGTTTGGAGTAATTACAAAGAAAAATAACAGAATGTACAAGTTTCCAAGTCATAAAACAGATGTTGAGGCGTCAATCTGTCATAGAAATGACACAGCTCAGTTTTGTAGTAATCCTATGAAAAAATTAGGGTTCTAGAATGCTTCTTTTTTCCAGGCAGAATGGTCATTTTCAGTCTAGAAATAACAAATTCTGATCTTTCGTGTATTAGTAGTTTGACATACAACACAAACCTAATGGGTAAATTTATCAACCATCACAAAAACAAAATTTGCAGAAAACAAACCACAACTTCTCTACCTTCGAGACACGTGGGGCAGACATCCTCATCCTCTGAAGCAGCATTAATATGAGCAAAACCCGTGGTTGGCTCTGCCCTCGGTCCCTTAACCGACAATTTCGAATTATATTTTTTAGAATAATCATCACATGAAAAGTCATTCCACTTGCCCTTGGCACTCATGGGTTCGGATTCTTCATGAGGTTCTTCCAGTCTCAGCGGCTCCGTTTCCTCATTCAAATGACTTGACCCTTTATCCCTTCTGCCAACCATCCCATCATGCGCCAAACGGAAGTACCTTTGGTCTGCATCGTAAGGCAGAGGTAGTGGAGGTGAACGATACATATCACCTATGGAGTTATCAGTCGATTGCACAGAGGTTAATGATGTTGTCCCCTGACTGGAGGAAGGCAGGGCTTGCTCTTCTCCTCTGTGAAAGAGTGACGCATACTGTAATGAGTGGTAAACGATCAGTTTGGGTTTCAAATTGTAATAATCGTGTGAGACTGAGCTTGGTGGGGCATTTTACTAAAACTTGGTGCTTTATTAGAGTAAACGATTTTGTTGTACTAAAAGGGAAAATGCAGTGCGGGGGGAGAGAAAGAGAATCCTTTTGCTCATTTTATCTCATGGATCATGAAAATTACTTTTCTTTTTTTTAAAAAACAAAAAAACAAAAACAAAAACAAAAACAAAAACAATTGTTGGGTATGACTCCTACATTATATAGAATCCAAACTACAAAGTGAATTTGAAAACATTAAAACCAAACTTTTGTTCAACCAATAATTGATAATACCACTTCCCAAAGTGTTTGCAGGAACTCCCTAATAACATGAACAGCTTGCAATATGAAAGAATTTGCCCAACCCCACCTTTCTAAATTTAAACTGTCCTTAAATTATGGTAAGGACGAGATCAAGTAACTGAACAAAGAAAAAAAAATCATTGCATACATGCATTCAACAAAGACGAAACTTCCATACCATTTGGCTCCAAATGTAAAGATAGCAGTACAAAGCAATGCTATTATAACAAATTCAAGCATCAAATGGAATATAAACCATACCGTGTGAACCAAACTCTGCATGAAGCATTGAAGGCATATACAATTCCTATTAATGGAGCTGTTCGGATTGACGTAATCTTCCCATTCATCCCTCAGACAGCCACAAACAGCACCCATGATAAACCTTGTCAACGCTACAACCCCTAAAAGTAAAACCCTTTTTCCCCGCTCGCAGAAAGATTAAATTTTAAAAGCGATGAAATCCAATTTCCATGAGAAAAGGTGATTAAGTCGAGCGCAGTTCGCTAGCTCACGAAGCTGAACTAACTTCAGCAAACTGCAGCCTTCTAGTGGAGAGAAAACCCAAATGACTTCCGCTAGTTATATTCTACCATTCAGGCATACCGATTCACCTGAAATTTGTGACTCAAGATTAACAAACTTAATGCAAGAAATATGAATCATATAACAGAACTCCGGTGGAAATCCTAAAATTGAACCGAAAAACACAAGTATGCGTACAAATAGAGAAATTGTGGTACAATTTTTTTTTTTTTTTTAATCTTCTGTAAAAACGACACCAGGTAAGCAATAATACAACAGCATCAATCAAAATGGAACAAGATATCAAATTCAAAAAGTAAACGATCAGTCATGATCAGTCCTAAGCTTTCTAATTTCTTTATAATCGAGTAAACTACAATCAACGAATATAACAAACTATCATAGATAAAAAGAAAAAAAAAATCCACAACAATTTATCAGAGAAACCCATTACAGATAGATAATACAACTCCGATCAGTTCCAACCCAGAAACTGAACAATACATACTAACATAATATAATAATTAAAGAATATGAATATGAAATAGCTGTAACAATACCATCGGGTATGAAATTAGATTGTTCTGGAGAGATAGGAGCCGGAAAATCCGTGCTCGAATGTTTCAGAAATCAGCTGGATTCTTTGTACAAATTTCTTTCCTTTTTTTCATACATAAATATACACGCGCATAAATACACAGAAGGGAAAACTTTTGGATTTCCAATTTTGAAAATAATAGGAAAAAGATAAGGGTGTCTCCAATGGTTAGCTATTTGGCTAGCTATTATGACGTGGACAAGGGAAAAGTAAGAGAGAGAGTAGTCACTAGCTACTAACAAATAGCTTATCTATTTCACGTAGCCCAAGATCATGTGAGAGGAGTATGTGGGTCCAATAGTGTAAAATAGTCATTTTTCTTATCTCTCACATCCACGTCAGCTGACTATATAGCTAGTAATAGCTATTACCATTGGAGATGCCCTAAATAAAAGAGAGGAGTAAACCACGCGCTTTTCGTATTCTCGAGGAAAGTGATAATGGAATCTATATATATGTATGTATATTTATAATTATCAAAAACAGTAAAAAAAAAAATATATATATCAATTAACATTTATCTCATTTATCTCAAAAATAGTAAAAAAAAAAAATAGTGCTGGTGCTACTGGTGCTGGTGAAGAGACACTTACTGCTGGGCTAATGCAGATGATGGTGATGGTTTAGGGGTTGAATCAGATGATGGTGATGGTGTTGGGGCTGATGCAAATGATGGTGTTGGTGCTGGGGCTGATGCACATGATGGTGAAGAGACACCTACTGTGGTGTAAGGAGCACATTTTCACATGATGAAGGACAATCCCAAATACCTGGTGCTGGCCATGAAGATGATCATCTTGCATCTGGAGTGGCAGAACAACTATTTGGAGAATCGGATGATTCTGAAGATTCAGAGTATGAGCCACAAGAAGACAGTGGTGAATCCTCAGATTTATCTGAGTGGGAATTGGAGGATCTTGAAGGCCCTGATGATGATGATATATTTCAAGAGAGGGCACATGATCATGCTAAAAAGGTACACAAGAGGGCAAGAGAATGGGTGAAACAAAGAAGAAAGCAGAAAAAAAAGCAAGAAAAGAAGCTGAAGGTTTAAGAACACATACAGAGGAAGGTTGGTTT